CTCGCATTTTCTTTAAAATTCAATTATTTCATTAACATTTATTATTTTTGCAATACAAATTTCTCAATATAATTTTCATCCTTTTATTAAGAAATTTTATATGGAATATGAAATAATTTTTTTTCGAAATTTTACATCTGAAAAAGTCACATCTCATGTAAATTTTCGGATGTAAAATTACATGGGGTGTGATTTTTTTGGACGTTGTAAAATTTTTCCCAATTTCTTTGCAAGTTTGATTGTGCCCCCCCTCACTTTTAACTTTTGCGTCCGCCCCTGCACACATCCAACTTCAAAAGAATACAGCTTTCCATATCCCAGATTTTTTGGAATCAAGAAAATAATATTTAAGGTAGGATACTTTCTTTTTTCATCTTTTCCCTTATATTATTTAAGGCACGATACTATTAAAGACAATTATATTTAAAAAAATTATAATTAATCAGTCACATTATTTTTGGCTTTAAAATCTTATATAATTGCATATCATATCAAGTCAAATGCCAACAATTAATAAAGAAATAATTAATAAAGAAAAATAGTTAAGCAACATATTCAAATTAGTTACGAAGGAGCCTAAACCATATGAATCATTTCCCTTGCTCTAATAAAATATCTTGGTATGATACACAATTAGGACAATAATGGTAAATAAGGGTTGTTATTTTTTTACTTATATCTCATTTTTTGTCATAAATATTGTGTCCTTAAACTAACATAATAATAAAAAATTTAAATTTTAAAATTATTATTATATATATAAAACATTTTTGAGTCCTATCATGTTGAGGCCTTGTGCGATTGCACCCTCAAGATTTCACATGAGTTCCATCAATTCAAAATTTCAACATATTGCACAATAATTTTCAAACTTAAACAACAATTAGAAGTGACTTTTTGCTCAATACTAATCTTAGTCTCACAAGCGATAAATAGAAAATAAGCATAAAATAGCATAATTTAGTCCAACATCATAAATCAAGCACAAATTTAAACATAAAATCATCCCAATGAGCCGACAGGGCCATTCAAGTAAGCCTCCATTTTGGAAGATTTTATAAACGAGTTAATATAAAGATAACACTTGTGAGTATATTGAAATGTATGATTGAAAATGAGATTTAACCATTTATAAATAATTTACAATTTTTCCATATGGAAGCTATGTAACACACAAACATATATTTTGTAAATTTTTAGTTTTTTTTTGTATTTAAAAAAAAAAATTCAAAATTTTTAAATTTTCTAAATATTTGAAAGCAATAAAAACATGTAACAACACTCAAAAAGTTGACTCACAATGGTCTTAGATGTGTAAATCTTGAGTGAATTAGTGCTGTGCACCAGTAACCAAATAAACACAAAGGTGGACAACAAATTGGACAACCAATTTTAGGCAGCAAATTTCAACTCGTAGTAGTAGGAAAAGCTCATGTGTAAATAACTAGTATGCAATAAATATTTGCCTTGATTTCTCTTAAGCCACTTGAGTAACTAGTATATATGTAAGGACATTGTTAGGGGTACATAAATTTTTACATAATGGTTCACATAATACATGTGATACACATCCAATCTTTAATTCAAATCTCACACTTTCACATCAACTACCGGATGATATGTACATAAATTATGTATAACAAGCATTATCCTATATGTAATAACTGCATGCACGTGATACTGTAACGAAATTATGATATGTTTTATCTATACACATATATGTTACAGAGATTGGTTGAAAATTGTCTATAGATTTTTTTTTTCCTTTTTTTTTTTAGGGAAAATTGTATAGAATTGCCCTATAAACAATTTAACTGTAAAATGCAGCAAATACTTTTAAGTCTATGTTTGATACAGATTCTTTAAAATACATTTTTCCTAACTCATTTTTAAATAAATATTCTCTCAATAAAATAACTTCATATGTGAACTCATAATTTTTCCTTCTTTTTAACTACGCATTGTCTGAAAAAATCTCTTTTCCCAAAATTTATTCTACAAAATTCTATGTCAAATAGGTTCTAAATTGCATCAAGCGGCCAATTTTTGTTATGAAACCTAATTTTTAGTAACTTTAATTAGTATTTATTTTCTCAATATATCATAGACATGGAATTTTTCATAACTGAACTCTAAAAATTAACTTACTCCAATGTGAAGAAGTTTAACTTTCTATTATCTCTATCACCCCATAGATCAGAATCCACACCCTCCAAGTCTTACACATCTTAAATTTTTTAAACATAAGCTCAGTTACCCTTTATATATTTTAAAAGCCACTCCATTGCTTCCTAGTGTAATTCACCAGATTAGACATGTATCTAGTAATTATACTTATCGCAAAAGCCACATCAAATCTGGTATAGACCATAAGATATATAATAAAACAAACAGCTTAACGGACTAATTCCATTCTCTATTCTTCTTGGTTTGTTATCTAAGGGAACAGTTGCACAATTTGCTCGTTCATTGAGAACCTAACACTTTACAATAGGTTTGAGATGTGGAGAAGGAAAACACGGGCAAGCCTGATTATCTGAACCAAGAATTTTTCTGACATCTTACCTGACCACTTAATTATCTCATCTAATTTAAAGTTGGAAATGTGTTGTGTTCATGATAATTAGTTTTTACAGTTAGGTCTCTAAATCTTTTGTGAACGTGTTTCAAAGTAGATTATATATAAAAGAAGATAACAGTTTGAAGACAACGACAAATTTACAATGCAGGCATTCAACTCGATGATGGGCACATTACTTTGATATTATTGATTTTTTATTATTAAAAGTATTGTCCCATCTCAAATGAACATGCAGATAAGGTATCTGGGAAGATAAGGTTTCAGAATTCATTTCAGCTTCTGATAATTGTTGCTTTTGTACAGTTTTTCTTTTCCTTTTTTATTCTCTCACTAAGAAAAGAATGCATGTTTTCAGTTAAATGTTACAAATAAGAATATATGGAAATCAACACGTTGTTCTTGAGAGGCACAAGTCTGGATACAGGGGTGGACGCAGAACATTTACACTGGGGGGGCACAATCGAACTTGTAAAGAAGTTGGGAGAAATTTTACGACGAAAATTTACGCCCAAAAAAATCATACCCCATGTAATTTTACATCCGAAAATTTACATGGGATATGACTTTTTTAGATGTAAAATTTCGAATTTTTTTGAAAATTTCCTAATTAAATGATGAAAATTACATTTAAAAATTTGTATCGCAAAAATAATAAATGTTAATGAAATAATTAAATTTTTTAAATGAGAGTTAGACGTCTTTTTAAAGGCTCACGTTTAACGTATTTTTAACTATTTTCGATATATGTTTGAACTATTCGATATGTCCATAATGTAGTTCTTGAAATAAACTTCGAAATGATATAAGCAATTTGTAGATTCGATTAGTGTACAATCGTATGAGAATTTTTTAAATTAGTATATTTCGAAATTCAAATTTATTTTGATTTTGCCCCTGTTTGATGGAGATTAAAATCAAATTTTTAGTAAATTTTGATGAAAATTAAACAGTTATGGATTTCATGAAATATGTTATTAAAATTAATTGTTAACTTTGATTTAGATTAAAATTAAAATTTCAATCGATACCAAACGTGATTTTACAAAAAAAAAAAAATCTGAAAGTTGGGGGGGCACGTGCCCCCCCCAGGACCCCCCCTGGGTCCGCCCATGAATATGCTAACTATTTGTTTAGATGAATCAAGCTCAAACCATACTCACATTTTGCAAGAGCTAAGAACACGTGCATATACTTTTACAGATNGGGATGATTATTCGAGATACTTCGACTCTCTCTCTCGTCTCTCTGGTTCCTCTTTTCTCTGAGTGTAGATTAGGGTTCCTTCTGTGATTCGTTCACTGTAATCTTGCTTTGTGTTCTGGTCAATCATTCTTAGTGAAGTCTGTACTATAGTGTATAGATTGAGTGTTGATTCTAACGATTACAAGAGTCTGTATAGTTGAGGCTAGATTGACACGAAGAAACCTTTGATTTCTTCGAACATCTATAACTTTTCTTAGTTGAAACTTAGTGGATCTAGAGCTATATCCTTTGTGGATGCTCAATGGGTGAGTAGGTCTTTGTGGCTGAACATCCGGACCCTACGGAGTGAAAATCGTGTGTTCAAGTCTTGTTTTTACTTTCTGAACTTATATTTTTGGTTTGTGATCTTCGATCCTTTAAAGCTGTTGATTTGGGACCTAACACATCCTTTTTTAAGACAAAAAATTAATTCTTGTTTCATGGATCTTGTGTTTGTAAGAAAGGTTTTGACGTGAAACTGGTCAAAATGCTACCTTTTTCAAGGAATGTAATAACAAATTCCCCGTTTGGTCTCAATTATTTGAGATTATAATATTTGAAATAGTGTTTCTTTTAAGAATGTGTGGTTAAAAGGGAAGGGTCTATGAACACAATCGAATTACACATCCAATATTGTGATCACCTCCCACTCGATTTTAAAAATTAATTTCCAACTCGGAATGATTCATGATGTTAAAATTATAAAAAACATGAATAATGGAAAAAGTTTAACCTTATTTACTAGAATATAAATTGTTTAAAAGAAAAGACGGTATAATAATTACAGAATTAAATATAGAGAAAAATAATGTGTTCATATTGTCTTCTTTTTTCCAATGAAAAAATTTCTTACTCTGCAAGTAAATCTTATGGTCCTTATGTGCTATTCATTGTTTTTCTAATACTAAAAGACAACACTTTCCCTTTAAGAGCAAACTGAATTGATTTCGTCATTGCTTCCACTGAATATATTTCTCCACTAACCCAAAAAAAAAAAAAAATTATCCACTCAATGGCCAACATGCAAGTTCCTCAAGTATTATTAAATTCCGGCCATTTAATTCCAACAGTGGGCTTTGGAACAGCAGCATATCCTCTGCCACCACCTGAACAACCAACATGGCAACATCTATCTTCATGGATGCAGTTGCGGCCGGATAATCTCACGATATAGATGATGCAACAACAGCTGATGAAGCTGATGTTGCCTCCTAGCTGGCATGGTAGTTAATTTCAGTTAGACAGCTAGACGAATTCAGTTGGATTGTTAAACCTGTTGAAATAATTGTTGATAGATAGTTAAAGTTGTTAAATAGTTTGTTCAAAACAAAACTGATATCTATCATTTTCCCTTTATATATATGATGTAAACCGTATTCATTGATTAAGAAATAAGAATACAGATTTCATTCCTCTTCGGTTTTCATGTTGAATTTATCTTCTTCTTTTGCTGCTCTCTAGTTCTATACTAGAAGAGAATTTTACATGGTATCAGAGTTTTAAACCTTTCAATTAAAGCTTCTGTTGTGCTAAATTAATGGCGAATTCACTCTCCAACCCAGCTGATGATCTAACCAGTTATTTCTTCTTGCATTCCAGTGATAATCCGGGAGCCTTGATTGTTTCTGAAGTCTTTCATGGCGAAAATTATACATCGTGGAGCCGCTCGATTTCTATGGCATTAAGTGTAAAGAACAAGACAGCTTTCATTGATGGATCATTGCCAATGCCAGATCCATCATTTGATGGCCCTAGAGTATACCACCTGGAGAAGTCCCTCAGTTCCATCTCTCAAGGATCACAAACACTTACGGTATATTACAACTCATTTAAAGCAACATGGGATGAGTATATCAATTGCAGACCTCTCCCTAAATGCACTTGTGGAGTGCTTTCTACCTGTACTTGTGACATATTGCGTAACATTTCTGATATCCAGCAATCAGATGTGGTCATGAAATTCCTCATTGGACTTAATGAATCTTATTCTATATTAAGAAGTCAACTGCTCTTAACTTCTGCACTTCCATCATTAGCAAGAGTATATGCACTTCTACTTCAGGAAGAAAGCCAACGAGACCTGCACAATCACTCATTCCCTGATCCAGCTGCAATGGTCGCAAGGCAATTCACTAGAGCATCTAACAGGCCTATACCTTGGAAGGATAAGAGAAAGCCAAAATGCACCCACTATGGTTTTCTAAATCACACGGCAAATAAATGTTTCCAACTCATAGGCTATTCTCCTGGTTGGAAAGGACCTAGAGGAGCACGAATGCAATCTGATACCCTTGCTGCTTATACAGTGAGCTTCCTTCAACCAAGAGCTTTACCAACAATTCTTAGCTTTTTCTAAAAGTCAGTAGAATTCAGCCACCAAATCAGCATCTAACACCACAACAGGTATCCCCAAATCACTTTGCAATACAGCCTATCTTATACCACAAACAATTTATTGGATTATTGATACAGGGGCAACAGATCATATGATCTATTCTCTAGCCTTCTTTACTTCCATTGATTCAACTTCACATACTTGTGTCAATCTACCGAATGGCACCTCTGTACCAGTTAGCCACACTGGGAAAGTACAAATTTCTGATAGTTTAACACTAGAAAATGTTCTATGCGTACCTTCTTTTTCATTCAATCTTATATCAGTCTCTAGATTAACAAAATCTTCCAATCTTTGTGTAATGTTTTCTGCCTCTAATTGCCTCGTACAGGATCTGTCAACTTTGAAGATGGCTGGTTTTGCTAAGGAACAAGACGGACTATATCAATTCCAAATTGTTCATAATAAACCTTCTGCACATCAGTCTATCATCACTCCAGCAGTCAACACTAGACAGCATTCAAGTCTTAACCTATGGTACCTCAGACTTGGCCACATATCCATCGCAAGAATGTTAAAAATTCTGCATATTGCTTCTTGAATACCTTATAACAATTTACATATCTATGAAATATGTCCGTTAGCAAAACAAAAGAAGTTACCCTTTCCTATTAGTGAATCAATGACAAATAAAATCTTCGATTTAATTCATTGTGACATTTGGGGGCCATTTGGTGACAATTCTCTGAATAGTTATAGATTTTTTTTAACTATCGTTGATGGTTATTCGCGTTGCACTTGGGTTTTCTTGATGCAATCAAAATCTGAAACTTGTGGCCATATCAAACACTTCTATCAAATGGTTCTCACACACTTCAACACCAAGATAAAATCTTTCAGATCAGATAACGAGGCAGAATTTGCTATGCCTGACTACTATGGTTCACTTGGAATCCTACACCAAAGAAGTTATGTTGAAACCCCCCAACAAAATGGGGTGGTCGAAAGGAAACATCAATCCATTTGACAAATAGCCAGAGCACTCCTATTTCAATCTCAAGTGCCTCTTACCTTTTGGCCTGACTGCATACTCATAGCTGTTCATGTCATAAACTGTATCCCATCTCCAATTCTTGGCAATAAAACCCCTTTCGAAATGCTCTTCCAAAGGCCACCGGATTATGATCATCTGAGGACTTTTGGCTACCTTTACTTTGCATCCACCCTCAATGTTCATAAGACAAAATTTTCACCTCGTGCATCCAAGTGTGTGTTCTTTGGATACCCTCTTGGCTACAAAGGTTACAAAGTATTTGATCTCCAAACTCAAAAGGCCTTTATTAGTCGGAATGTTATTTTTTATGAAGGTTCTTTTCCCTATAGGCAATGTCTGCCACCTCAGCCACCTACAAACCATCCTTTATTTCCTTTACCTGAACCTGTGCATTTTTCATCACCTCGACCAGCCTCTTCACCAGCGCCTAACCTCATTCCTACTACTCTCAAATCAGATATTCCCCCTGCTGGTACTAGTTCTGATCATTCTGCACGAATGCCTTTACTAGACAAACCAGTTTTTAGTCCTCCTACACACTCTCCTGCTCCCAGACGTTCTACTCGAACTAGACTTCTACCCTCTCATTTGGATGATTATGAGTGTGATTTACCTTCTTCTTCCTTGGCAATCCAGTCATCTCCGAAGCTGGCTAGACCTTGTGCATCAGGTAAACCTTATCCTCTTTCTCATTATCTTTCCACTAATCGTTTAGCCCCTTTACATAAATATTTTACTACATCCATTTCTAATGTCTTTGAGGCGAAATCTTATGGCCAAGCCGTCATGTTTCCTCATTGGTAGGTTGATTTACCTCACCATCACTAGACCTGATTTGGCCTATTCCATCTAGGTGCTAAGCCAGTTTATGTCTAAACCTGCTCGATCTCATTTGGATGCTGCTCATAGGGTTTTCAGATACATCAAAGCTACTCCCGGCTAGGGATTATTCTTTCCCAGCAATTCTGATTTGCATCTCAAAGCCTACAGTGATAGTGACTGTGCTGGTTGCCTTGACATTAGGTGAAGCGTTACTGGTTTTACTGTGTTTCTTGAATCCTTAATATCCTGGAAATCCAAGACACGACCTACGGTAAGTCGATCTTTTGCTGAAGCTGAATATAGGGCCTTAGCTTCTACAGCATGTGAACTTCAATGCCTTGTTTTCCTTTTAAAAGACTTGGTTGTTTCCCATTCTAAGTCTACCCTCTTATATACCGATAGCAAATCTGCTTTGTCTATTGCTTCCAACCCTGTCCAACACAAGAAAACCAAACATATTCAAATTGATTGCCACCTTGTTCGTGAGAAACTACAATCTGGCCTCATTAAGATCATCCATTTTCCCACTCATCATCAGGTAGCAGATATTCTGACCAAGCCTCTTGGATTTGCCTTGTTTCATAGACATACTTCCAAGATGGACATCTTGAACATCCATGCCCCTCTTGATGGGGGATCTCACAATATAGATGATGCAAGAGCAACTGATGAAGCTGATGTTGCCTCCTAGCTGGCATGGTAGTTAATTTCAGTTAGACAGCTGGACAAATTCAGTTGGATTGTTAAATCTGTTGAAATAATTGTTGGTAGATAGTTAAAGTTGTTAAATAGTTTGTTCAAAACAAGACTGATATCTATCATTTTCCTTTTATATATATGATGTAAACCATATTCATTGATCAAGAAATAAGAATACAGATTTCATTCCTCTTCGGTTTTCATGTTGAATTTATCTTCTTCTTTTACTACTCTCTAGTTCTATACTAGAAGAGAATTTTACAGATACCGTCACTTTGACACAGCAGCAGTATATGGGACGGAGGAGTGCGTTGGTCGAATGGTGACTGGGGCACTGGACCGTGGCCTCATCAACAACTGTGACGAAGAGTTTGTTACTTCTAAGTTGTGGACAAAAGATTCTCATTATGATCTTGTTTGCCTGCCCTCAAGGAAACACTCAGGTACCCGTTAATATGGAAAAATATCGAGTATTTGCATACATCTTTGTTAAAAATGTTATAGATTAATGTTATTTAGCATTACTGGTGTTAAGCACAAGTCTACGTGACAACTGCATGACATTAAATGCTATGTTCACTTAAATGCAATATGACATGATTCATTTAATTAAACCTATAAAATGTGGTAACTTAAACAGGTGTTCTAGCAAATGCTAGATAGTATCATTCTTTTATATATCACTGTTTGAGGATGATTTACTATATTCATATTGTTGGAAATTAATTAAGCAATAAATGGGAATAGGAGACTGAAACACTAAACACAAGTAGGAAGAAGAAACCTGAAAATAGAGGCTTTAGAAAGTTGGATAAATGGTATCCCTCTCGTTCTTGAGATTATTTATAGGATACATCGTGGATTTAAAAAGCCTTCGGTGAATTTGCATCAAGCAAAGATGGAAACTTCGAACACTTCAAAATTTCTGAAATATGTTTGGTTAAGCTAAAAAGTTGATTAAAATCAACCTACTTTTGGTCTCCATTTTTTCAAAAACTCATTTTTTCAAAATTCATTTTCAACCACACATTTTCTCACAAAACACTAATCCAAATACATTTTAATTGAAAAATGAGACTCAAACAAGGACTCAAAGTCAACAATCAGTTTTAACCAAATATTTTAAGGGATTCACAACTTTTCAACAACACATTTTATAAAAAAAAAAAATCAAAATCTGCTTATTTTCATTTAAAATCGGGCTAAGTTTTTTCTTGGAGGAAGAAGATGCATAGTAGTACTCAAAATAATCCTCCAACACTAATTTCTGTGTCAAAGAGATTTTTTAGAATAGAATTTGAGAAAAGTAATTTTTTTTAGAGAATGCATGGTAAAAAATTCTGAAAAATAATTATAAATCCACGTGCAAAACTATTTTATTAAAAGAATGTGTGATTGATAATGAGTTTGAGGAAAAATGAATTTTAGAAATGAGGCCAAAGAGAGTTTAAGCATCATATCAACACAATAATTCATAAGGTGTGAGATTACTAAAAGGTGCAAGTCTTCCCATCAAAGAATTTATGGTGTGTTTTATTAACTTTATTTTTCATGAAAAATGTCATTTTTTCATCGAAATTCTTATTTTTGGGGTGTTTGTTTACCAATTTTTTTTTTCATGAAAAATATTTTTCAAAATTTGGTCATTTTTTTCTTTAGAAGAGTATATATTTATTTTTCAGGTAATTCACTCTCTTTCTCTCATCTACCCCTGCGTCATCTACTCATCAATAAAAAATGGATAAGTATAACATTTTCTTGGTTAAAAATAAACAAATAAAACATATTTAATTAATAATTTATATACAAATAAGTTTTAGACAATTAAATTGACAATAATTTATTTTCTTTTCATTCAAATTCATCTTTTTAATCAAACATACACTAAAATCTTTGACTCCTGAGGCTTTCGATCGAGCGAGACTCAAAGCACTGAACATAGAAACCAATATGTTTTCTGTAACAAATTGAGTACACAAGTCCTAATTCATATCCCAACTTTTTTCCCAAATATCCCCAGTCAACATGTAATCCAAACACAGGTAACCAAGTGTCTTAAAGCATCTCTATCTTATATAAGAAGATTTAAATTTTTTATTTTAGTTTATAGGAAAATGGGGCTAGAATATGTGGATCTTTATCTAATACATGGGCCAATAAGGATCAAGCAGAGTGCTGACCGTTACAAACGACATACTTAATTTTGATATAAATGAAACTTGGAAGGCTATGGAAGAATGCTGTAAAGTAGGTTTGGCAAAGTCTATTGGTGTCAGCAATTACAGTTGTGCAAAAGTCTCCAAACTTCTCAAAAAGGCCACCATCCCTCCTGCTGTTAATCAGGTAATTATTTTGTTCTTTCAATACTTTTGAGTCGCCACTGTCATATGATTTGATTTTTGCAGGTTGAAATGAATGTTGCGTGGAAGCAACAAAAATTTGCTTCAATTTTGTAAAGAGAAACACATTTATGTATGTGGATGGTCTCTACTGGGAGCAAATGGGTCTCTTAGGAGCATTTTGTTGGAGGAAAGTGGGGTTTATCAATTCGATTTGGCTAAGACTTGATAGGAAGGACAATACTAATAGGAAGAGGTAAATAAAATGTAACTTCTATTTCTCAACTTCAACACTTACAACACTTGACTTGACTTGTTGTTACAAAATGGAGGGACTCTACCCCTTTATATAGGACTTACATGAGATTTCTAGACCATACATTAATCTAGATAATTCTAGTCCATAAATTTTCATGAGGCTTCTAGATTTCATATTTGGACTAGATATTTTCCTATACTATTCTAGATACAATGCACATTTATGATCACATCTATTACTTAGATATTTACATGGGTCTTTATAGAATATAATTTTAGAAAATACTAGACTTTGTTGGGCCTTTGAATTGGGCCTATGAGCAAAATTTTTAAACTCATATTACTTACTCCAAAATCAAATTTACTTTCCAACACAGCCATCCGAGTGATGCACAGCCCAATTCTGAAAGATATTGCAGCAGCTAAACACAGGAGTGTAGGACAGGTGAGAATGCATTAGGGTAGCTTGATTTATACTCCGAACTCAGCATATATGTTGGGTTTAGTTTGGACTATTTTTATGGACTTTTGACACAAATTCAGGTAGCTCTGAGATGGATACATCATACATGAGCAAGGAGTGAGTCCCATAGTGAAGAGTTTCAACAAGGATAGAATGAAAGAAAGCCTTCAAATATTTGATTGGAAGCTCAGTGATGAAGAAGTTAGTCAAATCCAACAGATCCCTCAGGCTAGAGGCCTCACAGGTGAACACTTTGTTTTTCCAGAGGGGCAGTCCAAATCCCTGGAAGAACTTTGGGACGGAGAAATATGAATTTCATTTTCGCAACAAATTTATTGATCTTCTTGTAGTATACACTAATTGATTGGGAACCAATGGTAAAACATGGATCAAAATTTAACTGCTAAAAAATATTTCGAAAATTTGCATCATTTTTACGTTATCGCCAGTCTAACCTTGTGACTTTTATGTAGGAAAAATTAGTTGCACATACTACTGCAAAACAATAAAAAGTTATCCAGACTTGTGACGGCACGATATCCTAAACTGAAATTATCTATCATTACGTACTATGACCTGTTTGGATTGTTACTCTCGGGATACAATGATTAAATCACTCGTGCAACAATCACAAGCGACTTTTCCCTAAAATTTTTCTCCACAACAATATTTCAATAAAGTAAAATAGTACTAAAATTGAGTATATCATAATTATAGAAAATGAAAATTATTTTTGTTGTAATTTTCAGAGCAGAAGCAGTATAATAATAATAATAATAATAATAATAATAATAATAATAATAATAATAATTAAAAAAATCAACAATATGGAGTCAAAAGCTTCTCACTTAAACCATTTTTCCAACAATAACCAAAAAAACATCAAGGCAATAGTAGGAAGTATTGTTTAATAACACTCTTTTTATTACCAAGGCACTTTAGCCCCCTGTTTGTGGTAATCGTGTTCCCCAAAGTATCAAAAATTAATTTAAGAACAAAATAATTGAAAATTAATTACACATATCCAGCCAAGCTAAGATGATTGTTCTAACCAGTATTCTAAAAAACGTAAAACTTGATTAGGTATGAAAGTCAAGTTTCTAACTTTACGAGTTTAAACGAGCATAGGCATAAAAAAATGTTTTCTTAATTTTAATATTATTTACAATTTTTAATTATTCTAAAACTCAATTAATAAATAAAATAATACATACCAAATATTTAAAATTATAAAATACTATATTTACTTAATAATTTCTACCATTAGTCAATTATATAATTTTCAAAGGAAAAAATTGAAAATAAATCAAATAAGAGACTTTTAAAAAATGGAAAATAATAATAATAAAATAAAATGCGCATAACGCATTAAGCAGTCACTTGACAATGACCGCTTAATTTTGCACTTACTGTGAAGGGAAGGCATTTCGTCCGTGCCTCACCTCTAGACAACGCTTAGACACGCTATTTGGAACGCTAGTTTTAACATCTTATGTACACTTTACATGACATATTTCATGAATAGTTATTAATAAGTTGTTATCCTTTGTAAAATAAACTTACTTTTATACTATAAATTTCAAATTAATATTACAACTCTACTAAATGGTTTCATAGCTATAATTTATGTTTTTAAAATCGGATCGAATCGATCGATTTATCGGAAAAAAATGAGAATACGGCCAAAATCCAGTATGGTTATAATAAATTAACTGTTTAATAAAAACCGGTCAAATAACCAAAAAAATCGGTCAATTAAATTGGGAACCAATTAAGATTTTAACGATTCGAAGGATTTGCAAAACTTATTCTTTAAAAAGAAATTATAATAAAAAGGTTACCTAAGATATGGCAACCCATTTACACATTTTTCTGACCTATGGAAATCTTTTATATCTACTTCTTGAGTCCCATAATTGATAAACTTTCAATGTGGGATTGATAAACTTTGATAAAGCACCCTTTTTCAATACATTTTTAACGTGGGATTGACAAATTTCAATAAAGTACACTTGTTCAATATTATTTAAGGTCACATGGTGCATGACTATAAAATTAAATTACCCAATTTCTATAGATTGCTAAACATTTTTTTTAACCTTGCAAATTATTTGGTAAAATTGGAATGAGTTTTTAAGTGATCCAACAAATTAAAAACTAATAAATTTTATATTAAAAAACATACATTTGATATATTTGTATTTGTTTTGAATTGGTGGTGTGAAATTTTAATTATATACTATTGTTAAAATAAAAATAAAATGTTTATGAATATTTATTTATTACCTTCGGTTCGATCCCACTTGAACCTTTTGATCTTTGACCGTTTTTCTTTTCCAGATCAATGCTCGAGCTGGGTTTAAAACATTGATAAAAATATTATTCTGGTTTTCATTATTTTTAAAATACATTTTACTCCCTATTATTTTCAACCACATTTTTAAATAAAATAATATTACATGCAAACTCAAAATTTTTCCTTAATTTTTAACCACATGACAAAAATTGGCTCGAACAAGCTCTAGTCAATTGTTTTTGGATAATTTTCATGTGTGATCATTGAACTTATAGGAAAATCTGAATTGGATCACTGACTTTAATTCGGTTCCCTAAACTTTAATTCAATTTCAAATTTCACAATTTTCATATTTAGTCACCTATAGTCCCCAAAAATAACGAAAATTGCTTGGGAAAGTCAAATCATAACTGATCTTTCATGTAATAGTGACATGGCACCATAGAATCGAAAATGGTCAAATGAATATTATGACAATATTTTTAGATTAAAAATTTAATGTTTTTTTTATTTTATAAAATTGCATTGAGGTAAATTAAAACTCCATGCAGCCAGTAGAAGATATCGCCGTAGCATGTCTATCAATTAGGCAATTTCGATCAATTCAGGAGATGACATGTAACAAGAAATTCGAAGATAAATTGAAGTTGAATGACCTAATCCAATATCATGACTCAATTGAGACTCGGCCGAAATTTCAGTGATCGCATAAGAAAATGGGAAAAATTCATGGGTCAAGTATTAACCATAACAAAATCAATATTCAAACCTTAAGTTTTAAAGTTGCAAAAATCAGGTATTTAGTAATTGGTTAAATATTAATTGTAATATATTAACAAATCCAGCTCCACCATCCTACTGATCCGGGAATATTCTGTTACATTATATTCCATGAATTACGCTTGCAATGAAGACTCCCTAAAATACCCTCCCTAAATTACAATTTCAACTTCGGTTCAATGGACTCCCTCCCCTGACGACAATTGACGACGGTACAATCGGGCTTCCAAGTCACAATTCGAAGGTGTTAATCTCCGAGCACAAATTCAGCTTTTGGCCAGTGGAGTTCCTTCAGGCTGACAATTAACGGCTGTAAATTCGACATTTATGTTGTGGTAGTATGAATTTACATACCTGCAATAGGAGTTTATATCAGGTCACAGATGAGACATGACAGCGGTAACATCCACAAATTACATAATACACTCGGGTCACATACGCTTATAATCATAAAACATGTAACAAAATTAGGTCACAGACCCATTATAATCTCAATGACATGTGGGAAGTAGGTCACAAATCCATTACACTCTTTGTGAATTTCAATTTCAAAAACACTTTCAAAATATAAACCCCCAACCTACAGCAGAAGTTTATATCAGGTTACAGATGCAACATGACATCGGTCATAGCCACAAATTACATAATACACTCAGGTCACATACGCTTATAATCATAAAACACTTGACAAAATTAGGTCGCAGACCCATTATAATCTCAATGACATGTGGGAGGTAGGTCACATATCCATTACACTTTGTGAATTTCAATTCCAAAAAACACTTCCAAAATATAAACCTCCAACCTGCAGCTGAAGTTTATATCAGGTCACAGATACAACATGATAATGGTCACAGACACAAATTACATAATACACTCATGTCACATAAGCGTATAACATGTGACGAAATTAGGTCACAGACCCATTATAATCTCAATGACGTGGGAAGTAGGTCACAAATCCATTACACTCTCTGTGAATTTCAATTCCAAAAAACACTTCCAAAATGTAACCCCCCAACCTGCAGCAGAAGTTTATATCAGGTCACAAATGCAACATGACAGCGATCACAAATTACATAATACACTCAATTCACATTCTGTCTTCTTCTCCTTCTTTTCATCCTTTGTTTTCGCCATTGCTAATCGCTATCCACTAGAGATACTCACACTGTAGACAAAATGGAATGCACTGGATTTTTGGTAGAGTTTGGAGATTTATCACGGTTGATTTTGGAAACGTGGTGGAGATTGGACGTGAATGAGGTGGAGATGAGATAGTACTTGAGAGAAAATAGGGCTTGAATAAAAATAGAAGTTGGAATATAAACCAATTTGAAACCCACAATTAATGGGGATACGCACGTCAATCAATTAAAAGATTTATTATTTAATTAAAATGATAAAAACCTGAAAATTGAATAAATAACTTCCAAACTTGATTTATAAAAATGGATCTTTAAACACATGTTATTATGTAATTTGTCCTAAGAAAATTTACACTGTTTTTTACACTAAAAAGACAAAATTGATGTCTTTCCCGTCTGTCCTAATCCACTCCAATTATGTGAGTGAATTATTTCAAAAATCACTGAACTTATACTATGGTCACATACTGCTCACCGAACTTTATTCTGCTTCACAGTACTCACTCAACTTTGTCATTTACCTCTCCATCCACCACTATCAAAAAATCCATTTGTTGGACGCTGACATGGCGGACGGAATTCCTAGGTGGCGTCTGACGGCCGTTAAAAAATTACAAATCAGCAAAAACATTGTTTCATCACTCATCCAACTTACTCTAGGTCACAGTTTACTCATCTAACTTCAAAATACTTCCCAGTGGTCACTCATCTTTGAGATATTGCACTTCATCAATTATCCGTCATATTTCGTTCACTTCGTTGCTAACGTTCGCATAGAAAATCCATATAATAAGTTACAAATGTTGGAAAAATCACAACTCAATGAAACTATCAATTTACTAAAATCACCATGTGTGAAACATGACTTCCACGGCCTCATAAACTTTTTTAAAATCCAATAAAGCGTCCTCAAGTATTCTTTAGAAATATCACTTTTATAATTCGAACGTTTATTGTGTGAAAAATAGATTTCAATCTAAATCTGAAAATCGAAAACTTAACTTGATTTGTAAAAATATTTTGTCTATATTTCACCAATTTTACTTCTAATTGTATTCAATTGATCATATGGTGATTTCCATGTGTTGATAGTTCGGTTGAGTTATAATTTTTTTGATGATTTTAATTACCCGTGAAATTTTCGGACAATAAATTAGCAACGAAGTGAATAAAATATGGCGAATAAGGGATTGAGTGCAATTTTTAAAGATGAATGATCATTGAGAAGCATTTTGAAGTTCGATGAGTAAACTGTGACATAATGTAAGTTGGATGAGTGATGAAACAATGATTTTGCTGATTTTTGTAATCTTTTAACGGCCGTCA